AAGAAGATGTGGTTTATCTATACAATGGAATACTACATGGCAATGAGAAAGAATGAAATCTGGCCATGTGTAGCAATGTGGATGGAACTTGAGGGTGTTATGCTGAGCGAAATAAGTCAGGCAGAGGACAGATTCCGTATGTTTTCACTCACATGTGGACCTTGAAAAACTCAACAGAAGACCATGGGGGAAGGGAAGGCGAAACAAGAAATAGTTACAGAGAGGGATGGAGGTAAACCCTAAGAGACTCTTAAATACAGAAAACACACTGAAGATTGATGGGGTGGGGGAGAGGGGAAGGAGGGTGATGGTCATGAAGGAGGGCACTTGTTGGGATGAGCACTGGGTGTTATATGGAAACCAACATGACAATAAACTATGAACGAAAAAATAAATAAAATCTTTTGTAGTGTTCATGCAAAATTTAGAGAAATTTTCATAAAGTTAATTTTAATTTCTTCCATTGATTTTAATTTAATGCTATTTCTCTTATAGAGGTCCAGAGGTCCACAGACCTTTTACCATATCCCTTAAGGAAGTGTTATTGTTTTATTGTTGCAAACTGGACCATATCTATTTAAATATAATTTTTAAACAATGGTTTCAAATCTGTGGTCACTGACTCTTGAAGGGGCCACATCAGGGGATTTCTCGAATCTATATAGGTCCATCATATTTTTAGACTGAATAAATATATATTGCACACAGCTTTTATGTTTTTCCTCAAATGTATTTAGATACTATTATAATTATCTATTTAAAGTACTATTGGGGGTGCCTTAGCTCATTCAGTTAAGCCTCCAATTCTTGATTTCTGCTCAGGTCATGATCTCACAGTTTGTGAAATCGAGCCCCATGTCAGGCACTGTGCTGACCTTGAAATTCTCTCTTTCCCTCTCTCTGCTCCTTACCCTCCTCAAAATAAATAAAACAATACAGTGGTACCAAAAAGTCTTTCATATTAGTTTTGGAAAAATTTATTTTTCCAATCAATAGCTAATAGAACTTTGATAACTATGATAGAGGAATACAGAAAATATTTTCCACATGAAAAGGGTCCTTCTTCTCACAAAAATTCAAGTGTCATTTCTACCCATCTCCTTGTTCTGTTGTTGAAGATCACGGATTCAGGCAACCACCCTAGGGAACCAAGGGAGATTTCAGAAGTATAGCTTCTCATATGAAGATTACTTAACCATACATAATATTCATAATTTTCAACAATGGAAAACAAGAATTATTTCATAACATAGGCCACATCATAATACAGAGTTCCAACCAGGGTGTGTGTGTGTGTATGTGCATGCTCATATGAAGCACAGGGCTGAGTTTTCATACAGATGTCTGATGTAACAATACATAACATGATGGCAAAATGGCAGGCAATTTAGTTCTGTAAATACCCCACCCCAATGCTGAATTCATTAAGATATTCTTCACAGGAAATATTCATTTCAAAAAAAAAAAAAGATTACTATTCAAATAAGCCCTTGTTTCAGACAGTTTTTATTTTCCCACAGTTACATGACAAAGAATAATTTAGCTAATCTTTTCCTATGGTATTTCCGGCTTATTTCTTAAACAGAAGGATTCCTGTTTCGAGAAAATTCATAAATGTCCACTTTTCTTTCAAAAACCTGGGTGACCTAATATGATTTCAATTTTACAGGGGGGTGGAGGGAGGACTAGCCAATGGGAATCACGTAAAAGTTATTGGTTTGCTGCCATTATAATGAAAACCATGTGTATGGGGGAAATTTACCCCCATAAATCTCTCAGTGCACATAACTTCTAATTAAAACCTCATAACAATCTTTTTCAAATAATGAACACAATTTTGAGATCGAGTATAATTTCATTATTTCAGAAATGGATGTGAGAACCATGTGTCTGGGAATGTGTTGGTTCGTACTATGACAAGGATACCAGAAGAGAACATCATAGTCCCCATATCTCAAAAAAATGCAAGAGGAGGGAAGTTGTTGACTTCAAAAACCAGCATTCACTGCACAGAACTAACATCCAGTGGGTTTCAGATATACTATCTGGTTAAGAATTTAGATAATCAGTCTTTCCAAGAAGTGTGTATACTCTAGATAGAATTCATATTATATTACATTAAAATTATCTGAGTTGTGCTGAAAACACAGCTCATAGTATATGCTGCTTTGTGGATCCAGGGTAAGAAGTGTGTACTGATGATACCACGATCCCATTCTTTGAATCCTGACAGCCAGCTTGCCTCTTGGCAACTCCTTCTTGCCAATCGAAATTAGTGCTAAACAAATTCCACGGAGGACAAGTGTCTTTCCAGAGGAAGACAGATTGCATAAAGGGCACACAATAAAGTCTCAATGATTCCAGTTTGTGCCAAGTTTCAAAAACATTCATGAACAATGAAGAAAATATTTCCTTTCGGTTAGAATCCTAAAGAGAGAACAGTAATTTGGCCCTTAAAATGGTATGTTAACGGCCTTCCTTATTGACGATTGTTTCTTATCTCAGTTGGACAATATTGATAATGGTAATAAACATGTTTATTCTATTAGTTTAAATGGAGCACTTATTCTGCCCTAAGGAACCCTCTTTGAACTCCTTTCCCTTCTCCTGAAAGTCATGGCTAATCAACAAGCATAAATTACTATTAAAATACAGTAAATCTAATGGGCATATTACTTGCCTCTTAACATCAAGTTAATTCATCAACTATCAATATACTCTAATGGTAGTTGATAGAAATTATAAATGATACCTTTACTGAAGCAAAAGAACATTTAACCATAGGTAATACAGGTGATAAACTTCCAGCACGGGCTCAACAAAAACATATGTGACTGCCTCTATGCCAATGCAAAGGGTTTTATTGAGTGCACCTGATTTTTAGCCTCTTTCAGTATTCCCTTTTAATAGCTTAATAAGGACCAGTTATAGCCTAGCTAGCTCCTGCACATGTGCTTAAAATTCAGAAAGCTCCATCAGACAAGCTTATCAATGTATAGAAACTCATCAGAAGCAGCATAACATGGATTTAATGTTCGAAGGGGAAAAAAACCCCTATTTTTAAATTAACCTGGCCCTTTGTTGTAAATTATTTTCACAATCTGCTTAGAACATCTAAGGTCCGGCCTATCAAAGGGTTCCCAAGACCCTTAATTCAGGCCTGGCCTTTTTGTGAAAGAGCTCAAGCTGCTGGCTGCAACAAGGACTCTGGGATTACAACTGAAGGAGGCTACCTAAGAGTGATCATTCTTCGCAAACATCTGCAGCCATTGAGAGGCGACCTGCTCAGAGGGCCGGGGAAGCAGGCCATTATGGTCTGGCCTTCTGTGTCCTCTCTCAGCTGCAGGCACACACGAGTGCCAGGTGCAGAAGCCTCGCTCAAGAGGAGACTATAGACCGGGGTAATGGTCACGGCGATTATGAACTGATAATTATTCCCTCCCTATTTCCTTGTTTCAACCAACCGGTTGTCCCACTGATTATTTTCTCTTTATTGCCAAAAATGGTATCCTATGGCTAGGGGTTGATTATATCTTTCTTTCTGGCAAGACTTTCATTTCAAAATTACATAGCATATAGTTTGTTAGATTGTACCTATTAGCCACAAATCTGAAGAAATCACCCTATTGGATATTTCACAGTGGAAAGTTGGAGGATTAATGCAAAATATTATAATCTTTTTTTTTCAACTATAACTCCATATGTGGTCCACTTGATTTTTTTTTTTTTTTTTTGTCCATATTGGTTGAGCATGCTTTCAGTTTATCTTTGTGGAGCTCTCCTCATTTTCGCTGAAATAGACCGAAGAAGCTGTATTTTATTTCTGAGTACCTACTAGAGCACACCACTATGCTTGCATTCACAAATGTGGCACAACTTTTATACGACGTAATAAAATAAGCATTTTTATAGTCGTGTACTCTAAGGCCAAACACTAATTAAAAACAGGATGGAACTTTTATTTCCCCCATTAGAGATATGAGAGCCAAAGTGTTTCAGTAGAACAATGGTTTTCATTGCTACACAGCGTCTTTATTAAAGGCTGTCTGAATACAAGAGTTTCAAATGATTATTGTACAAGTAACGGGGGCTACTCAGTGATGTTACCTTAAGAGACTATCTGCCAAAATTGAGTGCCATAAAAGAAAGAAATTTGGAATTCAATGCTTCAACGCTAAATAATTGAAACAATTATAAAATGGGCACAGTGCTCTCAAGTGAATGTATTCTTTCATCCGGAATCTTCAAAACTTACCAGTTTGCCAAGTCTTCATTAGTAGAAGAACATTTCAAGTCTTATAGATAATTGCTACTAACATCAGTGACATCTTAAAAAGAGATTTAACATTTCTGGAAATTTTGAAGCATATGAGGGGAGAAATTTGTTTTTCATTTTACTCTTTTCCTCAAAGGGTGAAGAAAAAAATGTAGTTGGGAATATTAAAATCATGAAATATCAAGCATATTTTCTAGACCTAAAATAACTCTGCTACCTTACAAATATTAACTATATTATAGAGAAATCGGTTTGCTCACCAAATTATTATATTTATTTTAAATTTTAAAAGAAATCTTACCAGTCAGTATAAGTTACTACTTGAATTTCTTTAAAAAAAAAAAAAAATAAGTAGGAGCTCATGCTGTCGAGCTTCATGGAATCTAACACTTCTTTCTTCACTTTTTCTAGAATTTGAGAAGCAGAACAAGACTGTAAAGAAAAAGAATATTTTTAAATGTGCTCTACTGTGTCAAATGGATTCAGAAAGCACTTTTGAAAAAAAAAAAAGAAATGGATTTGAGAAGAAAAGAGAAATACAAACTTCATTGACTATTACTTTTACTCTATGAAATATTATCTACTACTCTCTGTTGGAACTGTATATTCCATATGACATTATTTTCTCTCTTTCTTGCAGTGTGGAAATGTTTCCATCTGTTAGAAGTTGGTCTCACCATTTCTCTGAGGGAAATAAATAAAACAAACAGAAATTTTGTGGCCAACTGGAACATAAACCCCAATGAACAAACATCAGGTACACATCCAGCATTCATGCTCCCTCGGATTTAAATGTCCCAGCTCTTCAATTGCCTGGGCTCTGTCTTGGCTAAGACTGGCTTGTGACTTTTCCATTCGACACCAGATTGTTAGGGATTCCACTACGATTTCTGAGTGGTAAAATTATCTATTATTGAGTCTAAGATGTATATATTTTGAGTGTCTAATGCATATATTGTATCAACTTTGATTCAGGTACGTAGGTGGTTTCACACACCTCTAACTCTAAGGTAGAGAATGATTTAAAAATTTTTTAATGTTTATTTCTTATTTTTTGAGAGCCAGACACAGAGCATGCACAGGAGAGGAGCAGAGAGAGAGGGAGACACAGAATTCAAAGCAGGCTCCAGGCTCTGAGCTGTCAGCACAGAGCCGGATGCAGAGCTTGAACTCACAGACCGGGAGATCATGACCTGAGCCGAAGTCGCAGGCTTAATGGACTGAGCCACCCAGGCACACCAGTAGAGACTGATTTAAAAATTGACCAAAGACACATTTCCTTTTTCAAATAAAAAACACAGTACATTTGAAAATACTATTTAGGTCACCAGGCCAGGAGTAACAAGTTCCTGTTTATTTTAACATTTGCTCTTCCTCTTCTCCCCTGGTCATTTTCAGCAAACAAAGCAATACGGTTTTTAAATTCTGATTTCTACAAGAGTATAGGATTGCCATATTTCTGGGTGCAGATCCAAGATGGCAACGTTAGTAAGTGCACTGAATCTTTGCAGCTTCTTCTTACAGAGCAACGTGCCTGTCCCCTTTAGGCCAAAATGCTCTGGCTCTGGCACTGTAGACCTCAGCTCTGGTGCCAATATTCATTGTATGCAATGTTGAATAATCCGAAACCATTGACTATCTTATGAAAGTGGCTTCCAAATGTATGCCTTTGGGACATTCCCCCACCCCCACCCCCTTTTTTTTTTTTTACCTCCTCATTATTTCATTGTGAGCCAATCCTGAGCCAATCTGGAAATAATATCACCGAACCTATTCACTTTGTCGAGAGTTGTGTAAAGCAGCACAAAGTCATCCAAGTGCACCCAAGTGACTGGCATGCTACTCTGTAACTGTCCAAACTGCAGCACCGCAGGCCAACGGAATCTTCTCAACTGTCATCTAGTGCAAGCAAATGTGGCCCCTTTAGCTGCCTACAGTCCCACTACCTCATAATCGGACACTTACCCTTAACTACTTTTTGAAAGTAGTATATGCCATCTGTCACATTATGGGGCATGATTTTTTTTTTTTAATGTTTATCTTTGAGAGAGAGAGAGAGAGAGAGACATACAGAGCAGGAGCAGGAGAGGGGCAGAGAGGGGGGAAACACAGAACTTGAAGTAGTCTCCAGGCTCCCTGCGGTCAGCACAGAGCTGGACGCCGGGCTCGAACTCACAAACTGTGAGATCATGACCTGAGGTGAAATCAGACGCTTAACAGACTGAGCCATCCAGATGTCCCTTGGGGACATGATTTTTGCTTCTTGCTATCATCAGGGGATGCTAGAAATGAGGGATGCTAAGCACTCTAAAGTATGGTAAAACTTCAGAGGGAAGCTCTATTTTCACTCGTTTGTTGTGAATGTGTTCACTGGTTAAGAATGCTAATAATATAGAGAGAATTCCCAGAAGTTTTTGGTAAAATTCCACATACATATAGGAGTTAAAGAGAGTCAGTTATAGGCATCCAGTACGGTTCAAAAACAAACACTGTGGCTGTGGATTTGACGTGGGTAGTCTTTAAAGAGACAGTGTTACATGGTTAAGTCTTTAGTTTAACCTCTCTTAACCTCATTATGTGTGACTTGCAATTTTCTTAGTCCTGATGATGTCACAGTGTATTTTCATTCTAAACTTTCAAACCAAGATGCATAATTTTCAAACCTACACTACCTTCTCTCCACCCTAGAAGTACTCATACGATGCCTCATTTATGAAAAACAAATAATTATCTTGCTTACTTTTTGTGTTAACTTGATGTCCTGGGTTTTTACATTTTCTCTGGTAATTCAATGAGTTCTCCAGATTCCCAAGATTTTCACTTTTCTGAAAAAGGCTGCATTTATAAGGTACTGATTTTATAAGAATTTCAGTTTTATCTTATAGTTTTTAGTGACCAACATTGGAATAAGCTTACAAACCTGAGATTCCAGTGGTGTAGACAACGACACCACTACCTGTCCAGCACTCAACTTCTGGAACTGCCCCTTCCTCAACTCTAACTATATGGGTCCAGGAAAAAGGGGTGGTGACTTTATGGGCCTCTGCCAACCACCCCTCAAACACAAGGCCACTGCTGATTGGTCCAGAAGTGGGCACCTGACTCAAAATGACCAGTCAGATCCCTTCCCTGGGCCTCCTGAGCTGAACCCAATGTAAGCAGTTGGCCTTTCTCCAGTGGTGGAAACTACACGATGCAAAATTCAGTAGCTTTTAATGATCATGTTCCCTGCCCACAGGGAGGAGGTGGAGGAGATGAAACTTAACAGTAGAGATATTAAAAGAGATAAGAGATAGAATGAAAGACACCTGTCATGTCCCCAGGCCCAGTTGTTCCCAAGACCCAGTCATATCTTTACCCTTCTTATGATTTACCTCTTCATTCCTTCCATTCAGTTAATGTCTCTGCCCTTCTCAGCTTCCACAAAGATAGCTTTCTATCACAACTAAAACAAATGTTGTTAATACCCTAGTGCTAATCCTAAGTAATGCAGATTTTGAAAATAAGAAAGCTATGATTAAAATAGAAACTGAATCATGGGAATGCAAACCGATGCACCCACTCGTATGGAGGTGCTTCAAAAAATTAAAAATAGAACTACCCTATGATCCAGCAATTGCACTACTAGGTATTTATCCAAAGGATACAGGAATGCTGTTTCGAAGGGGCACATGCACCCCAATGTTTATAGCAGCACTGTCCACAATAGCCAAAGTATGGAAAGAGCCCAAATGTCCATCGACTAATGAATGGATAAAGAAGAAGTGGTATACATACAATGGAGTGTTACTCAGCAATCAAAAAGGATAAAATCTTGCCATTTGCAACAACATGGATGGAACTGGAGGATATTATGCTAAGTGAAAGAAGTCAGATGGAAAGACAAATATCATGTGATTTCACTCATATGGAATTTAAAATACAAAACAGATGAACATAAAGGAAGGAAACAAAAGTAGTATAAAAACAAAGATAGAGACAAACCATAAGACACTCTTAAATACAGAGAACAAAGTGGGGGTTTTGGGTGGGGGAATGGGCTAAAAATGGGTGAGGGGCATTAAGGAGGACACTTGTTGGGATGAGCACTGACTATTATATGTAAGTGATGAATCACTAAATTCTATTCCTGAGATCATTATTATACTATATATTAACTAACTTGGATATAAATTTTAAAAATATTAAAAAAAAAAAAGGAAACTGAAGCTTCTTAACATTCGTGTCTATTTCTATTTACTCCTAGACACAATAATAAAGGAAGAGGCTGTGAACAAATCTCAGAATTTCTGAGATGTCCAGCGCAGTTTGTCCTTTCCTCCCAAATCCTGTATCACATATACTGAGAATCAATAAAACAGCAATTATGTGGTCTTTTCTATTTTCTCAGTACTGGCAGGGATATAAGAGAAAAATAAAATATTTTCCATTTGGTTACATTTACCTTATACTCCTCACTTAGTAAAGAGTTACTGCCTTAGTAATTTGGTTAGGGTCACATGGATAGTAAATTTAAAATTAAACCAAGATTTAAATACAGGAATTATTTCAGTGTCTAGTTTTTGTGTTTTTTAAAACCACCAACCATGTGTTATTCTTTTCTAACCAAGAATGTATCTTCCCCCCTCACCTCAATACTTTATTTTGACAAATTTCCAACCTCAAGAAAAGCTGAAAGAATAGAACAAAGAAAAATCCATACATTCTTTACCTAGATTCACCAAATGTGGTACATTTGCTCATTCTTATGGTAGGTCAGAGATGGATAGATGGATAGAAAGCAAGAGAGAGAGAGAGAGGGAGGGGGAGACACAGTACGAACAGGGGAGGGGAAAAAAGAGAAGGGTACAGAGGATCCAAAGCAGACTCCTCACTGTCAGCCCAGAGTCTGACATGGGGCCTGAACCCACAAACCATGAGATCATGACCTGAGCCGAAGTCAGACACTTAACCAACTAAGCCAGGCAGGCATCCCATAAAATAATAATTTTCTAATTGTATTCCACATTTTTTTAGTTAAAATATTTCTGCAGGGAAGAGTTTTTGTTTGCTGACTCCTCACTGTTTTCGAATATCATAATAAAATTGTGGATTAATGTTTATTGAATGTGTTATGACTACTATTACTCATTTTGATGCTTGAGTTATTCCAAATGTGACCAATGGAAGCCCCCATTAAGCTAGTTTCTGTGTCCTTTTGACATGTTGTCATTACTCTTAGAGAATTTTCTTTCTTTTTTAGCTCAAAATGTTCTAGGCTCGCCTTGTACTTCCCTATTCCACACCTGAAGTCAGCCATGGAGTCTTGGTCCTTGCGCTGGGGAATGGCATTAGAGGCTGAGATATGGGTGCTGGAGATGCTCGTTGCTTCTGGAGTGTCATTGCTCCAGGCTTTTTCAATGGACTGAGCTGTGAGATGAATTTTTATAAATGACTTGATCCTTATGCCTCCAATTCAAATCTTATACCATAGATTTTTGCTTGTTTCATGGCATATTTGTGTATCTTCCCACACCCCTTGTTCCCAGTGATATCAACATTACTCATTTGCTCTATTCTGCAATACATATAAAATCAGATAAGAACTTCAATGCCATCAGTAAATCTGCTAAGTTCAAGTTTTCTTTGCAGTTCTTGTCTTAGAATCTGTGCTAGTCACAGTACTGAACCAGAAGCCTGGGTATCCTAGGTGGTCACATGCTTTTTCTGAGATGTAATTGCTATCTATCTATCTATCTATCTATCTATCTATCTATCTATCTACCTATCATCTATCACAGCCTTTTCACATAATGACCTTCTCATTCTTGAATTCTGGACTTTCCTCTGTCTTCATTTTAGCTCAGTTATGTTTCTAAGTAACTTTTGCAGGGCAATGTATATTTTCTGGTATCTTGCCATATCTCTGAATTCTTTCTGCTGTCTTTTATGCATGAGTGAAAGTTTGGATCTCCTTTTCCATTTATTAAGTTTATTCCAAATATGTTATAAATTTGATGCTATTACTAAGTAGAGTTTTATCCTGTTGTTCTTCAGATTAAAATAATAGAGATCTGTGTGTTTGTTTTGAACAAAGCCACACTACTAAATCGTCCTAGGGTTCAAATAGTTTTAATTTATTATTATTATTTTTTGCTTTTCTGAAAGATCAATACATTCTCTGAAAATACAGAGCTCTTCTACTTAAATAGTATAAGTATGTGAACCAAAAAGCTGTTCGCCAGTTCCAATATCTGTTAGTGCAAATTGACAGTGTATGAACAACTGTTAACAACATCCAATGGTGGCAAGAAGAGTTGATATACTTTTGCTCAGGGGTATTAAAATCAGTTAACACATATAGCACTAGGCTTAAATACATGTTATACCTGCCAAAAAAAATCAAATGCAAGTAATATTAAAAAAAAAAAACCTTGAAAGGAATGTAAGATAAAATTAGACTCAGTGGATTATTGAGTAGCAATTACCAATGTTTTTAATAAATTAAACACTGATAAACTACCAGATTTAAGAAGGAGGCAGGCAAAGCAAAAGCCAGCTAAATAATTTCCCCAACATTACAAATATATTCTTGATTTTGGTTATTAAAGAAATCTAGGTTAAAGTTTCCTTAACTTGCAGATCATTGCCAAATGCTAATGTGATGTCTGTTTGCTATCTTATTTGAGAATACTCAACTCTGCTATTGAAAACAAGCAAAATAAATGAGATGGAGGAAACCCATAAGAAGGGTTAAGCATAGTCATTAAGCAAGCAGTTTATGAGCTATAGATGAAATTCACAGGATGCGTGAATTGCAGATAATAAGTAAGCAGGAAGCTTGAGAGAAATAGGCAGCATACACGAGATTTATTAAATA